AAGCTCAAAAGAAGAGTGGAAGAGAATCTTGTGTAGAATTAAAAGACGACCGCATTAGTGTGGAAGAACTGGCCTGTGGTGACAGAAACCTGCTGTCTCGTCAAAGCTGGATCTGACACACCTGAAGGGTTTTTCCAGTTGCCTGTCTGTGACCTAGATTAAGGCCTCTGATTGTGTGTGTGTGTGTGTGTGTCTGTGTGTGTGAGTGTGTCTGTGTGTGTCTGTGAGTGTGTCTGTGAGTGTGTGTGAGTCTGTGCGTGTGACAGTGTGTGTCTGTGTGTGTGTCTGTGAGTGTAAGTGCGTGTGTGCGTGTGAGAGTGTTTGTCTCTGTGTGAGTGTGTGAGAGAGAGAGTGTGTGTGTGTGTGTGTGTGTGTGTCTGAGTGTGAGTGTGTGTGTCTGTCTGTGAGTGTATCTGTGTGTAAGTGTGAGTGTGTGTGTTTGAGTGTGTCTGTGTGTAAGTGCGTGTCTGTATAAGTGTGTGTCTGTGTGTGTCTGTGTGTCTTGTGGCGACGGCTGTCGGCTGCATCCCCCCTAATTATCACCATCACCGCGTCCCTTGATCGCCTCCCTTCGCCAGGCTCCCGACAGCAGAGAGGGGTGAGAGAGAGGAGGGGCGCAGAATCATGCAGGCCTGGCGGCGTGTGATGAGTCACATCTGAAGTGAATGGAGCCTCGTCACCGCTGCTGTTAAATGCTGAGTGCGCCTCTCCTCGAGAGTCCGGTCTCTTCCCCGTGCATGCACGCTGGTGTCCTCGTGGGTTCAGGAAGGGTTCGTAGAGAGACTCCCCGCCGCCAGAGCCGTGAGCTGCCGGACCCGCGGTCCGGACGAGAACCGCACCGTTTCACTGCCGTCGGGCCAGGATGCCGGGCTGTCTAGTCCCTTCGAGCGCCGAGAGCAAAGAGAAGCATGAAGCCGCCGCCTCTCGCGCCCCGGACCGGAGAGGAGAGCGCGTGCGGCCGCCGGACTCCGCCCCTTACCTGCACCCTTCCTTCCTGAACACTGCCCTTCCCTTCACGAACCCCGCAGCACGACGAGGACACCGGATCCCCGGCTTATTTTGAACACTCTTTCCCTTTGGACACTTTATTCCCTGTTTTGGGCATTTTTATGTTATTTTCTGTTAATAAAAGCCTCTTCGAGGCCTGACGCCACACCCACTGTTCCTGTCGTGTGCTCCTCCCACCACAGTGTGTGTGTGTGTGTGTGTGTGTGTGTGAGAGAGAGAGAACAGTTTTCAATTTTATTCATATGTTATGCTATGTCCTTGTTGAGGACACCAGGACTCGATTTAAAAAATAAATAAATAAAAATAAAAAGACATGAATGAACATGCACGCACACACAGACACACACACACAATCACGTGCTCTCTCAAGGCAATGCTGTTTAACCCTTGTTTTGTTTTCAAAGGCCTCTAACACTTGTGTTGTTCCCGGTCAAAAATGACTGACCTTTCAAAATTGCTTGTGATAATGCCTGGCCTCAGTGCCGCAATTATCTTCTGTCTCCTCCAACTTTAAAAAAAAAAAGGATAATAGAAAGCCCAAAGACGGCGCAGAAAAGGCCAGAGCAAAAAAAAAAAAAAGTGCTAACAGTGAAGAGCCAGGCACAGTAACGTTACCAAGCACCAGTCATGAGCCCAACACACCAGAATGGACAGGTAGGATTGTCATTGAGCGAATATAAGAATTAGAATAATTAATATTAATGAAGAGCATGGTGTAGACCTGCTCAATGAAAAATGCCCTGAGATCATTAATGATAGCAGATGAATCAGCAGTTGTAGTACAGTGTGTGAATAAGCAAACATGATCACATTAGTCTCAATATAACTTTCTATGCCCAAGTTTTCTTTTTTCATTTCAGGTTTTTGATATTTATAAACACTAAATCTTACAGAAAATAGATCCTGATACTGTGTTGTTGTAAAGAACACTGTTATTAACTGCTCTGAACTTCACTGAGAAGCAACACTTAGGCTACTGTATTTGCAGATGTATATGCTGAGGTTTTAATTACATTATTGTAGTATAGTCAGTGAACTAAAGCGGGCCGGTCTAAGGCATGAAGCTCCAGGCTGCGAATGAGTCCCACTCCGGCCCTGATTGATTCTGACACAGTGGGACTTATTTGCTACTGATTGAGACCTGCATTTGGGGCCTTTGCATTCCCTACCCTTCCCAAAGTATATACATTGCTATTATTCTTGTAAAACAGTCTTTGTGGGGTGTACTCTACTATGTGCTTGTAAACAGTGGCGTGCAGACGAGGGTACATTTGCGGTCTGGTCCGGGGCGGGGGTCCCCCTAAAAATCCGGGGGCATCCATAACTGAAAGAGCACGAGCTTCGGTGATTAAATCGATCACACTCCTCCCACGATCTGATCTAAAAGAAAAAAAAGCAAAGTACTTAGAGACCGACGCTACAAAATGCAAAATTCAAAAAATGCAAAAAAAAAAATAAAAAAAAATAAATAATAATAATAATAAATAAATAAATAAAATAACACACCGGGGATACACCTCCACTCTGTAGGAGAAGTGCCATGGGATTTTTAGTGACCACAGAGAGTCAGGACGCGTGCCCGGACCAGCCGTCACGAGCACCGGGCACGGGCCCATATCGGACATCACGTCTCATCCCGTCACTATACCGGGCTTTAGGACCCACACAGAGCACTGCCCTCACTAACACCTCTTCCAGCAGCTGCCTAGTTTCCCAGCAGGTCTCCCATCCGGGTACTGACCAGCTCAACCCTGCTTAGCTTCAGTGGGTGACCAGTCTTGGGCTGCAGGGGATATGGCTGTGGCTGTAATTGTCATAATATAATTTAGCTTTATGCATTTCTCCACGCCTTCAACCGGAGCGTTCTGATGAGAGGATCAAGACAGGACAGAAAATACCCTATTACTTCTGAATTTTTATGTTTTTTAATGAATTTTTATGTCGCGCCCGTTGCTCGTGATGGCTGGTCCGGGCACGTGCCCGTTCCTCGTGATGGCTGGTCCGGGCAAGCGCCCGGTGCTCGTGATGTCTGATACGGGCCCGCGCCCGGTGCTCGTGATGGCTGGTCCGGGCAAGCGACCGTTTCTCGTGTGTCCGATACGAGCCTGCGCCCGTTGCTCGTGATGGCTGGTCCGGGCAAGCGCCCGTTTCTCGTGATGTCCGATACGAGCCTGCGCCCTTTGCTCGTGATGGCTGGTCCGGGCAAGCGCCCGGTTCTCGTGATGTCCGACACGGGCATGCGCCCGGTGCTCGTGATGGCTGGTACGGGCAAGCGCCCGTTTCTCGTTGATGTCCGATACGGGCCCGCGCCCTTTGCTCATGATGGCTGGTCCGGGCACGCGCCCGGTGCTCGTGATGTCCGATACGGGCCCGCGCCCTTTGCTCATGATGGCTGGTCCGGGCACGCGCCCGGTGCTCGTGATGTCCGATACGGGCACGCGCCCGGTTCTCAGGATGTCTGATACGGGTCCGTGCCCGGTGCTTGTGATGGCTGGTCCGGGCAGGCGCCCGGTTCTCGTGATGTCTGATACGGGTCCGTGCCCGGTGCTCGTGATGTCCGATACGGGCCCGCGCCCATTGTTCGTGATGGCCGGTCCGGGCACGCGCCCGGTGCTCGTGATGGCCGGTCCGGGCACGCGCCCGTTGCTCGTGATGGCCGGTCCGGGCAAGCGCCCGGTGCTCGTGATGTCCGATACGGGCCCGTGCCCGGTGCTCGTGATGGCCGGTCCGGGCACGCGCCCGGTGCTCGTGATGGCCGGTCCGGGCCCGCGCCCGTTGCTCGTGATGGCCGGTCCGGGCAAGCGCCCGGTGCTCGTGATGTC